GTTAGCTAGAGAGACAAATACAATTGTTACGGGGGAATACAGATGAAAATGAAGTTTTCCGACTACGTGTCTAGATTTAAAAAAAAAAGAGTTATGATGTGAAACAAATTGTGATGTATATTGAACACTATGTTATCGGAACATTTATTTTATTTTAGGAAGAAATATAAACAAGTAGAGATATGCATTAATGTTTAATTACCACTTATATCTTTTGTTTTGTTCATGTACGCAAGTAACTGTATCAGTTTGTGAGGCTAAATGTATTTTGTGTTGATTGTGGATTTTTTTTTTTGGGTTGTGTCGAGTCTCGTAGGGATTGCCGACGTTTCGGAGAATCTTATCGCTTCAGTGTTCAGGGTTGAGGTGAAGACAGAGGCGATACGTTTCTCCGGAAAAGTTGGTAACCGTCTACAAGACTACACTGCGTCATACTCAGAATACCGCAATTTCCCGGTAAATGTACTTTACGTCTGATATATCTCTGCCGTAGGGCCTAATGTGTTTCCCGTGAGATCTGGCAGAAATGTTGCGTCTCTAGTCCGAGTTATGAAATTAGTTACTTAGGAATTACCCAACCACCCGTAGTGACATTAAGTATTTGAAGTAGCGTTGTTAAACAAACTATTAATGAATGAATAACGGTGACTTCTGGCCCAAGCGGTCTCAGTTGCACACTGCTACCATCAGCACTCACCTATCTTCTGACCCATCATATCTTTTGGATGGTTCTGTTTGATGGCGTTCATGCGTCTGTTCTGCACACCACCGGGAGGGCCACACCCCGCGGGCATGACACCCCCGGGCCCCCCTGTTCCACATCCCTGAGGACCCCCTTGTCCCGAGGCCCCAGGGAGCCTTGGCCCTCGTGGCTGCTCCACCGGTAAAACCCTCCGTCGCTTTTTGGGCAACTTTGCTCGCGCCTGCGTGTGGGAGTAATACATCGCGAAGTTTGACACAATGACCGGCACTGGCAACGCGATGGTCAGCACCCCGGCAAGGGCGCAGAGGGCGCCCACAAACATCCCCACATACGTCTTGGGGGCCATGTCCCCGTATCCCACAGTGGTCATAGTGACCAGCGCCCACCACAAGCCGAGAGGGATGCTGTTGAAATCGTTGTGAGGATTCGCCTGGATCCGCTCCGCGTAGTAAACCAGACTGGCGAAGATGACGATGCCGAGGACGAGGAAGAAGACGAGCAGGGTGAGTTCTTTGGCGGATGCCCGGAACGTCTGGATGAGGATCTTGAGCCCCGATGAGTGACGGGTTAGTTTAAACAATCGCATGATGCGAATTATGGAGAAGAACTCGAGGATGTCCGCGTTTTCCAGGTGGGATGCGAACTTCTGAAGCACCAGATCTATGTAGAAGCTGAGAGTGGCGACAGAGTCGATGATGTTGACGGACGCCTTGATGAATTCCCACTTGTTGGGCGTCGCGATGAACCGGATGAAGAACTCGAGCGTGAACCAGGCGTTGCAGACGCACTCGATGTAGAAGAAGGCCTCGTGGGCGTTGGTCTGCGTCTTGTCCAGTGTCCACGCCGAAGTGTTGTACGAGGTGTTGACTGTGATGTTCCTGATGACGGGAACGCGCATGTCCGGGTGAGTCTTCAGGCAGAACGACAGGATGGACACGCAGATGAAGAAAACGGAGATCACGCCTATGATCTACAACACAGACAGAATGCCCTCTTTGTACATCGTGTTCTACAGTCGTTTAGATGACAAAGAACAAAAGACGTACGTCGTGGGAATTGATCCCGATCTCAAATACGAATTTTGAGAATGCTGGATTAGTAACTGCTTTTTTTAGGATCCCAAATTTTCAAATCTAATGTTGAGTTATAATTTGATTTGAGAGTTAAGATTACGTTTAATTAAATTAACACTTTTGGAAAATGGAAACCATTGAGCATAATGGACGTGTCAATTCAGCCTCTATCCTGAGGGTTTATGACGTATGAATGGAATGGTATTGTTTTCATATTTCTGTGTCAACTTGCAACGTTTTCCAATTAAATATGACTAATACGTAAGTAACTAGACGGCTTACGGAACCCGAAGGTTCATCACCGAACTAACCAAAGCCCTCCACCGGACCCTGTCCTGGGCCAACCAAATCCAGTCTCCTTCAACTCCTATCTCCCATAGATCCCGCCTGAGATTATCCTCCCATCTACGTCTAGGTCTCCCCAGAGGTCTCTTCCCCTCAGGTT